ATTCATTAATTGTATTCACAGAATATCAGCAGATACGAAAAGTGCATAATTTACACCGATAACAATCATCACAAAATATTTTCATTTTCTTAGGATCAAAATTACGATTGAGCAACAGTAAAAATCATGTGAGTCCTTTAGCAGATCCATCGCAATAGTACAATCGAATTATTGTCGTTCGAAAGGAATCCTGATTGATTATTGAAAATGTTTAGAAACAAAGATGCAGTTGTAATACTTTAAGAATCAATGGGCCCTATGCGCTGATTAAAGTAGAAACTAGAAATTAATCAATCAAGAACACGAGATCGATTCCTTAGAATTTTTTTGAACTTCTTTCTGCTACTCTTTACTAGTTCAAATTCACTTTCAATTCAAATACTTACACCTGATGTTCGCTCCCAGTATTGTGATTTGGCCCCCAATGAATATGAAAACTTTGAAAATTATATGTGCCCTGCAATTTTCCACCAGTTAATGATATTTTTGTTGGACTATTCGGTGCTGCTATTATTGTATGTCCATTATTTGTGAGTTTGAACTTGATTTGTTCGTAATGGATAGATGTAAAGTTAAATGGTTCAAAACCTTGATAAACGGTACATCTTGTTCGAATATTAATTGGTGATTGTTTTTTTCCACCACACGCTGGAAACATTTCCATCCAAACATTAGGTCCATGCTTGCCATAATCCCAGTTTGCACTGTCGATTGTATTGGCCAATATCAATAGTGGTACAAATAGAGATATCTTTAGATAATGCATCAATAATCTAAAATCGATTTAATTCCATGGTTGCCTAAACCTTGATAAAACTAAACGAAAATTAGTAGATATGAGACAGGTCTTAAATTCAATAGTGATATTGACTATATTTCTAATTTCAACAATACAGCTGCTACTTGAAGTAAACAGACTTACTGAAGAAGTGTCGATAGTATTCAAAATATGGAAGGATCCTTTGGAACCTTTTGCATCCACGAAAATTTTAATCTTTTCCAGATTTCAAATATTTGAAAAGATGTTTGTTTGACGACAGTCGGAACAGTTTGTTCATAAGGAACTGGAAAAAGAAGAGAATCGTAACGCAAGTACAATGGTTCAGTTCGAGACTACTCGATGTGAATATAAATGTATATGACTTTTTTGAAGTGTCATCGAACCGAAGTGAACCCACGGTTTCTATAATATTATGAGATCGAACCTAGTCGCGATGAAAGCAAGAAACCGTCAGGAATGGTAAGAATAACTTTGTTGATCGTTTTGATAAGCTAATTTAAGCTTCATATATAGAGATCATTCTGTTCTTCAGGGCAGTTACATCAATTCTGTATATGAATGTGAGTCATTTGTCTATGCCGGAAAAATCTTTATTCTGTTCTTTCGTAGATTTCACCATTTTCCCATTTTACGATAGAAAATTGTTTATGTTCCTGGAAGATTAATATGAGCGCTGTATTGCTGCTAATACTATTATCATAATGTTGAAAAAATCATAATTTGCAACTTTGTAAACCTGCTGGCAAGTGAAAAAAAGAAGAGTAAGAAAAACTGAATTGTTAAAGCTTCTTGAGAACTATCTAAGCTCTCAAAGTCAACCCTTATGCCTCTTGAATTATTCTAATGTGAAAAATTTTGACCTTACATAGCGCTTTAGATCTTCCATTGATGTTTCTAATGCTTTCATGAAAATGAGAAATCCATTTAAGTGACCACATGAGGTATCCAAATTTTCAACAAACTCAAGAGAAAAATCGAAGAAAATTCGTCAGAAAAACCTCTAGGACAAAAGTAGATTCACTCTTCATCTGCTGCTTGCAATGATATATTTTGCAGTGGTTGATATAAATCCATATCAGAGTATTTCGATCGGTATTGAATCGATATGTAATAGGAAAATTGTATAATCTCATTATTTTTATTCGGAAAACTAGAAGGCTCACTTAGAAAACCGAGATATAGTCCGCTCCTAGTGAACAAGAGTTCGACGTGCGTTGCAAATTTCATCATAGCCTGCGTTAAAAACTCTTCACTGTGAATCTGGACTCAACTAACAGCACGTAGCAAGGCTTGCCATACTTTAGACATGATAAGATAAAATTGTTTTATCAGCACTAATATATGCAATGCAATGTCAGCTTGATAAAACATTACCTATAAAAGAAGTTATTGATAAGACTAAATAAAGGACTATCATTTTTGAGAACAAACATTAAGGTACACATGCTTTCAAATCGAGTGAACTCGAAATAATTTCGAACCATGTTTGGCTTGTTGCCCTTCTTGTCGACTGTAATTGCTTTACTTTGATCTGCTTCTTCCAAAGCATGTCTATTTCAATCATCTATGGAGCTATAAAATGTTGATATTCATGTTCCAAGCGTGGTGGTTGTAGTGCTCAATACCAAACTATATTCTACTTTAAGATCTCTCCAGTCATCAACTGACTTTTTGAGTTAAAATGATGAATTTTGAAAAAGGTGTGGGTGTTTTGACGGGTGTTCTCTGAACGTACAACCATCCACCCACACCCCACACCCGCACCCACACCCTCATTGGAGTTTTAATCTACTGCTTCTGAAGTTAGGGATAAATCTGTCATCATATCAGTCCGCTTTACTGTAAGTATGACCAAACAATTTAGTTTTGAGAAATAAATCAACTCGACTAAATACTGAAAAAGATCAGTCTTTTGCCACTATCTTCAAGGTAATACATGGAATACAACAAAAAGACATCAAGCGAGCTGAGAGAGAAAAATAAATATTGCATTTGATTCGTATGACTTTGATATTAATCGAAGATAGAATCTTCTAGGGAGATACATACATACTACTTTTCATTAACATTATTAGAGCAAAAAAATGAGGAGTAAAATTTGGACAAGTTATCATTCGTTTCTCAAAATTCATAGAAAGTACTTAAGTGATGAAATACAAGTATAAAAATGCCATAGTGACTTTTCGAAAAAGAAAAGTTGACTTATTCATCAAATTTTCGTAAAATCCAACATGGGAAGAAATTGAACTATAACTTTTGTTTGACGAAAATCTTTTCAATAGATTTCAACCATAGAGTGAAGAATACAGAGCTTGTATATGATTGCAAACCATCGTATACTTCTCATCTTTCTCTGTGTATGATAGCTTGCAATTGTGTTTGTTTGAGCTGGACATCATTTTGTAAGAGTGATCTGAAATTCAAATTGATTTACACAATAGATGCTATATCTTCAAGAAACAAATATTAATACGAGCGGTTCTTACGCCTATATTAAGGAATTTAAAAAGCGGCTCATTGGTTGATGTAACTATTTATTCATATATTCAGTTTTTCTTGAATTTTTTCTAACACGACAAAGATAATGTAATAGATTTTTCTCGTCTTGTTTTTAGTTTACGCCCAGAGATGTAAGGCGATCGACTGAGTCGTCTCTGTTACACGATAAATGGATACTCGATTTTTGAAAATTTTTGATACTCAAAATTAGTTTTCATAGATGCTCTTTGTTTAAAGCTGAAAATTAACTTTTAACTGGCTTAATCTTACAATGATCGATTTTAACCTATTTTATCGATATTTTTTCTTACATCAGTACATATCAATTGATATAGTATCCTAAAGTGTGGCATATGTGTGAAAGGTTGGTGTAATGCCATACTTATCACTTGTTGAGCCAAGAAGTTCGAGAAACTATTCAAAAACTGCAATTTCTAAATTAAAACTTGAGAAAAATACGATTTACGACCATCGTGATTAAAATCAGACTAAAATCATATTTTGCCTCTTTTTTACATAGGTTATCTAGTTTCGTATCAGTCAGTTCATTACCATCACCTCTGCCGAACATTTAAAAAAATTAAAAATTGTCAACCGCCGCTGTCGTCGATCAACTCATCGACGTACGCCTCTATTCGCGTGACCGGCAAAAATGTCGTTCTGTAGCAAATGCGTACAACTATTGGTATCATTGTGTGCAAAATGCATTAAAAAGTTGCCAAAATAAAATATTACTATCGCTTCAATGTCAACAATTACTATAGTTTCATCGATTGAAACATTACCAGTGGAAATACTTCATCAGATTTTCGATAATCTTGATGTACAAACAATCTTATACTCAATTCGACCAGTATCGAAATTATTTCGATCAGTTGTTAATACTTATAATTGATTTGTTTTGGATTTAAATTTAATTTCAAAATCAAGTTTTTATCTTTTTTGTCTATTAATTCATCCTCAAAATATTATTTCATTAACACTTTCGAATGATGAACGAACATCAGATCAAATAGATTTATTTATATTACTTGCTCATCTTCGACAGTGTACTGGACTTCGTTCGTTAACTCTTCTTGATATTGACGAATCACAATTAAACTTCATTTTGAAAAGAATTAATCTTAATTTACTCAATTCATTCTCATTCAATATTAGAAAATATCATAATAGACTCATAGAAACAACTACAGCTCTTCCAAAATTAGAATTCTCGTATTTTGGTGGAATTCCAAAGATTCCATGGCCAATCAATTGTATAACCAAGTATTTGACTACAAATAATCGCTTAAATATAGGTGATCTTTGTACAATACTTCAATGTTCTCCTCATTTGCATACACTTATTATGAGCGAAATTCCAAAAGGGATGATTAATAATTTAACTTCAATATATTTTCGACAGATAAGATCGTTAACTATCAAAAATCTTTCTGTAATTATTGATGAACTTGAATTATTTTGTCTTACTAACACCATCACTTGTGTATTTAAAATTGATTGGTGTAGCACAAATGTTGGATGGTAAACGATGGGAACAATTTATTAGAAGAAATTTATCTGAACTTGACAAATTTGAATTTTATTTCGATCAATGGAGATCAACTCATCAAACTCTAACAGATCTCGCGTTAATTATTGCTTCATTTCAAACATTATTTTGGATTGAACATAAAAAATGGTTTGTTACTTGTGAATACAAACATACTATGCTAAAACCACATATTATTTCTCTCTATTCAATACCAATATGCAAATCTTCTATATGGTACACGTCAAAATTGGCAAAAACGTTGTTGTCTACTTATCCTACGATGATGAATGATTTATTAATAATGGATAACATCAAATCATTGAGTTTGGCTTTGAATAAGTCAATAGCTGATGATATTCAAGTAAAGGTATGTTAAGCAAATAGAAATTTAACATTTAAACAGAAATAGAAAGATAAAGTGAGACTAATAATTGTGTTTTTTTCATGGATCTCTCACAGACTATAATATTGGCAGTAATTTCAATTCATCCCTTTCCTGGCGGTTTTACAGAAATCGAAAATAAAGGCTAGATATATTATATTGTATATAAAACAGACAATGAGTATTTTTGCATTTGAATATTTTTAGTGTACTACAGCACATCATCCTTTGTTTCGTAAAGTGACTGAAGTTAATCTTGAATTTTGCCATGACTGGCCTTTGATTTCGCTACAATCACTTATCGTTTTGATCGATATTTCACGAATAGTTCATATAAAAATGTCTAGCAATTATTTAAATGAATATAATCAAAATCTATTGATGAACATCAGAACTTTCC